CAGCTCTGCACGCACGTGCACAGAGGGTGCCCACGGGGAATTCGTGTAAATATGTTTACAAAATGATAGTAACATGATAGTGAAATGATAGTAAATTGAGAAAAGAGAGAGAGAGAGAGAGAGAGAGAGAGAGAGAGAGTGTGTGTGTTTGGGAGGCAGGAAGTAATTAATTCCCTGATGAAGTCTGTGAACGAGTGTCGAATCTCGTGAATTCCCCGCCTCTTCGTTCTTTATATTATTCCATTTACACGTAGCTGCGCGCGAATTCCCGCTCGCCCTCGAGATGAAAAGTGGAAAGAGCACGTTACGGGCGAGCCGAGGCAAAGAAGAACGAGCAACGGACAGCGCACGTTGTACTCTCCTAAGGTGCATCATCAACGACTCTTTTTCGCTTTTTTAAAAAGTTGTCATATTTAGAAACTGTACAGATAGAATACTGTTTCCTTTCTGCAAAATGCATGTCGTGTTAATGCCACAAAATTACTAATTAACAAGTTACAAGATTACAAATGCTTTTATGCAATGACAGGACGCGCGAAAATGAAATCATTCATTTGTTCAATATGTGATGAAAAGGAGAAAAGATTTCAAACTTGTCATCTCGAGCAGTCTCAGTGTAAAGACTCGCCTGATATAAAAATCTCGCAACTCGTATATACAGAGTGTTCAAGAAAAGGGTTCGAGACTTTAAAGACAAATGTCACTCAAAATCTTAATAAACATGGGTCGAAAAATTAATATTGTCGGAGTTATAAACAATTATTTATTTTAATTAAAGTAAGTGACCTACTCTCTTCTACAGAAGATTTTCTACATGTTCTCTTCTTATTTCTACATACGCTTCATATCTTCATAGAATTGCATAGAACTCTTTCAAACATTCCCGGCTTTGTTCTATTTGGCTTTTTTGACTAGCATTTTGACTAGCATTGGTGTAATTCTTCTATGTCATTTATCGGTGAAGATGCCACCCCATGCTCTTAAAAAATTTTCTTGAAAGAAAGTTCAGGGGATTTAAATCAGGAAAGCGAGGAGACTATGGGGTACCGTCCAATCCATCTTTCACCGAAGAGCTTATTTAAATGATAAACGAATTACATCAGAGAATACAAAATGTCTGGCAAATAGTCAGAACAAAGGGAGGAATTTTTGAAAGAGCTTGCAATTCGATTTGCAATATGGTACGAAGATGTAAAGCATGTGTATAAATAAGAGGAGGACATGTAGAAAATTTTCTGCAAACTTTGTATGCTCCAGAAGCGAGTTAATCACTTGCTTTCATTAAAATAAATAATCGTTCACAAATCCGACAATATTAATTGTTCTTTAGGATTTTTTCCTCCATTTTGTGAGTACCATCTATCCTTAAAGTCTTGAATCTTTCTTTTTATACACTCTGTGTATATACAGGGTGTCTGAGAAATTTTGGAGCAACCAATTTGTACAAGTAGAACAGAAATTGAACAATAAAACCATACAAAATTTTTCAAGAATCGTAATAATTATTGAGTTATTAATTAAAACGTGGTTAATTAATAACTATTGCGATTTCTGGAAAAATTTATATGACTTTATTGTTTAATTTCACCTGTTCTACCTGTACAAATTGGTCCAAAATTTCTCAGACACTTTGTATAGTATATATGAAAAGTGTTTGTTCCGCTCAGAAATACTCCGAAGAACTGTTGCACCTTTACGACTGAATTCAGAGAATTTCAGCGAATAGAAAAAAAATTCGCAAAATATCCGTATATGCGTAGTTAGGTTAGGTTTTCTTCTAAGTAGAGTAGATCAAAGCAGCAAGCGTTTATACAAGATTTAAATATAAGAAACATGGACAATGTAACTGGATCGTGTTAAGAAGAGATGCTCATTTAACACAACGTTTGCGCAATCGCCTCTACCTCGTCGGTACTTTAAAAGTCCGACAGCCACTCTGGCATCCTCTTGAGGAAAACGTTATTGGTGATAATTGCGCGCTCTAAACTTAGCTGAGAGAACATGAGAAACTTATGTGAGAAATATGACTTCAAACTGTGTTACGGTCAGTATCCGTGGTAAACGATGCAACATCGGTGATGAAATGCACGTTCACGTTTGCGCAGGCTACCTTTGGTTAGCGGAAGGTCGGAAGTAAAAGCTTTCCTGACTGAATCAGGGGAAGAACTATTTCACCGATAATTCGCCGATTTTCAACGAAGATGCACTCATTTCGTCTCACATCTCGCTCGTCGTCGAGCACGGCGGACGGGTGGACGACTTCGTCGCGGAATCTGCGGTACACGAATTTGTTATACCGGATACAACTGCCAGCACTCGCGACGATGGAAATCAAGCCTCTCATGCGGCCTGTACGCGATGGCAAGGCGCATGAATAACAGGAATAACAGGAAAATAGTCACTACCATGAATTGATCCTTTCAGCGAGATTTTACCGACTGCGGCGTTATACTTGTAACGGGACCACCAGTTACAAGCACGGCATTTCAGCGAGGAATATACTGATTGTCCTTTTGAGAGTCAGGGGCGGAAAGAAGGCCGAGGGTGGTTCCGTCGCGAGTGAGGGTTCTCCCGCGCCAACTCGCTCCGCTCGACAAAGCGACGGGGGAAAGGAGTCTCTGTCATTATGCTGATTAGATCGTACCGTTTTATTAAGACGGTGGATGTAAACTCGGAAATTCATGGAGCCATCCTCGCAGAGCGAGGAGGAGAGTGAAAGAAAGAGAGAGCAAGGGGGCGAGAGGGGGGGGAGGGATCGGAAAGGGCGAGATCCGGAGAGCTTCGTGCCGTCTCGTCCCGACGAGATCGGGTTTCCAATCGTTTCTCCCATTGTCGCGCCACAAACGGACCGTCATCGGCTTCCGCTCCACCTTGATTCCCAACTCCGCGGAGCGCTCCAAGCGAATTCGGGAGGTTCCGTGAGATTTTATTACGCGCGTAAATTTAATCCACGTCTCGACCGCGCGCCGGGCATTTATTTCGCCGCGCGTTCCAAGTATCCTCAAGTCTGGGCTCGCCGCCCAGGCGCTTGAAAAATCTGATACTCGGATTTGCGCGAGTTACGCGAAAGAGAGAGAGAGAGAGAGAGAGAGAGAGAGAGAGAGAGAGAGAGAGAGAGAGAGAGAGAGAGAGAGAGAGAGATACAGTGAGGATGGAAAGAGGCTGGATGAGAGGGTTATTTTCGTATATTTGCAGCTGCATTCGGATCCAGTGGATCCCCGTTGGAGCGCGCTTTCGTTATTTCTTTTAAATTCGAGGGACGTCTGCCGAGAGAGAAACTTCGTCGTGATGGTCGCGAGGTAGAAGTCGCCGAAGCTTTCCCGGCGGATGAGCGAATGCAAGCTTGCAGAAGACTCGGGAACCAATTTGCGCGGACTCATCTCATAAATCCGACATCGGCGCGCGAGTCCGCCGAGAGGTAAATAACGTCGTTCGTTATAGCCGATTTTGGAAGGGTGTCAAGAGATCGTTGGCGCCGCATCGACGCTTATATGCAAAAGAAATATTTATCTTTTCCACTCGGGCCTCTCTCTCTCTCTCTCTCTCTCTCTCTCTCTCTCGTGCGCGCGCGTGTTCGGCAAATCTTCCTCTTCTGGCCAGCAGGAGAGTGCAAACAATGTCGGACGAGGATGATTTACACGTCGCGACCAAATTTACCGCGCAAAATGCGCGATACGTTCGGATATAAGTTTTATTCCTACTCAAATAAACGTGATTGCAAGGCTTTCGGATGAAAATCTAATTATGTAAGCATGAAGAGCAATTTTTGTAGGTCTTTCTTGGAGTAAATCAGTAATTGTTTCTGCGATTGAACCAGTAAAGAACATCTCGAGTAGAAAAATTAATAGAGCTCTGATAAAGGCCCGATTATTTTTCCCTAACATTAATCGGGCCCTAGTAGGGATAGAAAGACAAGAGCCCTACAAGATGTGTAATAAATGGTTTAACGGGTCCTTATAAGGCAATATTATAAGGGCCTTATAAGGTAATATGAATAGGGCCTTATAAAGAAATATTTCCATTATTGCTTGAATAAAAATATTCGTTCTTTTCATTCCGAGAAATTTAGGCTGTAATTTCTTTATTTCTTTATAACTTTTCTATTATACAATAAGAATTTTTTATTTTAAAAATATAGCATACTTTACAATAAAAGTATTCTTATAGTATTCTTTATACATAAAAATCCTGCTATTGTTTTTATTAAAGTCTGCTGCATTTTAAAACGAAGACAATATTAAAAAGATCTTTGGAAAATTAATGAATATGGCAACTAATAAAACTAATAAAATCTGTTTTTAATTGCGGTATAATTAAAAAGTCTTTAAAAAAAGCAGATAGAGCATACCTACTAAAACAATACTAAACTATGACAATTTTATTACACGTTTCAGATGTTATTAATTTTCTATAACAAAACTTGATTTTGTATATCTAAAGCATTTTTAAAAGATCCTTCTAAGGATCCACATCAGTTTTCCATGTTAAAACATTATTTCGCAAAATCCAAGGCATCCCTAAAAAATCCTTCTAAGGCCCTTCTCAGCTTTCTCTATCAAAGCATTATTTATTAGATCTAAGGCATTCCTAAAAAATCGTTTTAAGACCCTTCTCAGCTTTTCCTACCAAAGCCTTATTTTGCAAAATCCTAAAAGATCCATCTGAGGGCCTGATATGATAATAATGAGGGATCCCTTTTTAGGACACCCTATTTTCAGCCTTATCGGGGCTTCATGAGGATGGCCTTAACAATTTTTTACTCGGGATCCTCATTTTACAGACTCCGTTTTTACTCGCCAGTTTTAACACTGAAAGTAAAATCTAACCGCAAATCTCTCCAAGTACACGATTTCGTTAACGCATTTAGTTTCCCACGTTTGTGGAAGAAAGGAAATATCATTCTGCCGAGGAAAGCTATTCGCTTGGTTTATTTTCCTCAGTTCATGCTGGCTTCGCGCAGGAAATAATAATAATAATAATAATAGCAGCTGCGTACTTACAATGCACCATTCGTCCGAGGATGGACATTCCATCAGCATGTGTGCGGTGTAATTGATGCACGGTGTAATGCTGCCGACCCCCTCGTTGTACTGTCCGCATTTGTAACATCTAATGCCATGCGCGACACCTGCGACACACAAATAATATTTGATCGCCAACTGAAAGTAGCACGAGGAGTTAGTATCCGCCGCCCGTCATTATCGGGAAACAACGCGGACGGCGAGACTATGAATGCGCGACGAGCGGAGCGAGGAGCGAACAAGCGATAAATCGCTCGAGGTTCAAAAATTCATTCGGATGGATGGAAACAAACGAGTCTGTAAGAGCCCAGCCGCTGTATATTCGCACGGCTGGCGAGTAACTCGTTACGGTCTCGCATAACGCTATTACCGTTACAAATCACTTCCTTTCAGCAACGAGTTGCTAACTCGTGTTATTCTTTCTTTTCTCTCTGTCTCTCTTTCTCTCTCTCTCTCTCTCTCTCTCTCTCTCTCTCTTTCGTTAACGGAAAATGTAATGACACTAAAGGATACAATCGTCACTGCTGTCGCTGTTTTATGTACACAGTTAAAAACATTTCGTACTTTTGTTAAAATTATTTGTGTGTAGAAAGTTTTGTGTTAAATTTTTACACAGTCGTGTGTAAATTTAACATATCGTTGTTGTGTTATCTAGGCTTTCTTGTGTTAAATTAAGATTATCTATTTTCAAGTGTTAAAATGACATTTCCAAGTACTAAAATAACACAATTTATATGTAAATGCATGAATTATTGCTATGATATATTTTATATATTGAAGTCAACATCTAAAATGTGTTACTTTCCTCATTACTTTTCCCAAATGTTGAAAATACAATGAACGTTGAAGTAACATTCATTGTATGTCAATTTAACACAAACTGTGATTCTTGACGGCATTCAAATGTTAAATTTTTGTGTTAATTTTTTACATTATTATGTGTGTCATTTTTTAACATATTTGCTGTATGTTAAATTAACACATAAATGAGAGTGGATGATTTGAGATACATGAAATATGTTAAATTTAACACATCATTTCTTATAGTGTAGGACAGGCGTGTAAATGGGAAATAGTGTAACAATCGCAATAAGGAGATATTCGGAATTCAATGAAAAAAAAGTCGTGGAAATTGTAATGATTCGTTATTTCCTAAATAACAATAACGAATTATTTTTCGAAACGAGCGGCCGCTACGAGCCATTATGCTTTATCCAGCACAACGAATATGGCGATTGAACGATAACTTTAGCTTTGGATACCTGCGACGTGACAGTTTGAATTAAATGTAGAATACGAATGTTAAAAAAAAATTATATACATTCTAATCAACGGCAATACTGAATGACAGGGGAGAAAAACATTATTATCATAATTGATAATACGCGTTCGATAATCGATAATGACGCGTTCAGTCGGATCAGTTTATGGCAAATCGACTAATATTAATTAGTCGATTTGCCACAAAAATCGCCTACTAATCCGACTGAACGCGTGCATTGTGAGAAACTCGTCGGCACGCGCGTTTCGCACCGCCGATGAATCTCAACTGCCCGCGGTTGGTTTCAATCGCTCGAAATGTGAAATATCCAGCAACGAGAGAGCTCCCATCGCCACATTCACTCTCATTCGCTTGAAAACGTAAAAATCGGCACCTACAAACATTTCCATCGAAAAATGCGTCCTCCTCGATCCAATTAAGCAAACAACGAGGCAAGCGGGAACCAACGCCAGTATGCCGACGAGATTTCATTAGAGCAATAAAGCGGTGCTTTACACGTAATTCACGAACATTTCGGCTTTATTGTTCGGACTGGAGGGACCCTCCCCTCATGAGCGAAGATTAACGAAAAAGCAAACTCGATTCTTCGGAGTCGTCGTTGTCGTCGTTGGCGGCGGCGAAAATAATTTGCGACCGCGGCAACGGCGCGCGCTCAAGTCCGACCAGCCAGTCGTCGGCTTCTCAGCGCGACCGAACTAATTCCCCAAGGCGAAACGTGCGACTCGAAAATTGATAGGATCCATAAAACGCTTAATCGCGCCTCGTAAACGCGCCGGGTCGCCGAGAGAACTCGGACCTTTCCGTCCCTTAGTATTCCCTCTGTTCCGCCTCTGTGCGAGCGAGCGATCGCGCCGGCTCGTTTCCGCGAGTTCTGTCGAGTTTCGATGATGCGAAAGTCGCGCGAAAAGTTTTACTGCGCTTTTCCGACACGCAGGTCCGACCGGGCTTTTCCGCTGGCGAGTATAATGCACGTTCATAAAATCGGAGATTTACGAGGAGACGTCTCGCGCTCGTATCGCACGTGCAAGCATCTGCCGCCGATTCCAGATGAGACGCTAAACGAAGGTCATCGAAGATTCGTCTATTCGGTGGCGAATTAAATTCGTTCGCTTACGCCGGAGATCGCGAAAGTTGAAGCCAGCGTGTCCTCGAATTTTACTCGCTAGAGCGCGTCTGATAAATTACGACCTCTCGAACTGAGTCGTTGGATTTTCTTTGTGCGCGTTCAGGCGCGCTCGACTGATTTCCGAGTGATTTTTAACACTGATGCGAACCGACCGACGAACATTAATTGGCCGCACGGAGAGAAAATGCCGATTAAATTGAAATGATGATAAACGGACGGACAAGGAAATAGCATTTCTGATTATTACGATCCGTCCAAAAAGTATTCTATTTGTAAAGTGATTTTCCCCACAGTCTCATATTCTAAGCGAAACCTTTTACAGAAAAAGGATTTCTTTTTCGATAAAGCGATTAAACTGAACTATTCATCTAAGATTTATTAGATATTATTCTAATTATTTTCCTCTTATTTAAATAAGAGAATTTTCTCTTATATCAATTAATTTTCCTCTTATATGAAGAGGAATATGATTTGAATATCGGCTTCTTTTGTTCAGTCATGATCTATATGATCCAGACATGAACGAAAAATAACCATATGCTCATGTGCCAGAATATTTAGAACCCTTTTTAAAAAAAGTATGTTGCTGAAACATACAACGAAGATAATTTACCCATACTTGATCAAATATATAATTTACAATCTACTGCAAGAAGTTGAATAATATATTTTTTCTTTTAACTACATTTCATACAATTGGTTATAATCATCTTGTATGTTAGCTATAAAGTCCATAACAATACTGATTAGAAATTTATTTGTTACGATGATCTTATTTCATTCATGCCTACTCATGTAGAACTGGAGTCAGAAGTACATCTATTACTTTTCGCTATATATTATAATAATTTTTTCAAATTAACTTGTATAACTAGTAAGAATAAAGTACAGTAAAAGTACAGTAAGAATAAATCCTTTTAGAAAAAGATTAATCTGTGTATGAGAGGAAATTTATATTAAAATCAATAAAATTTGTACTATACATATAACATAATTCCTCTAACTTTAAGAATAATGTGTTTATAATATTTTCCTTTTAATTTTAGAGGAGTTCTCTTGAAGCCATATATAAGAATAAAATCCTCGAAAATTTAGATGATTCCGCTTGTTCTGAAATTTTTCCTTTTTGAGTGAAACTAAATTAGTTACGGAAAAAGAGAGACTCCGTTTCCTTCAACTGAAACATTCACCGCCATATCTTTCTTCTGCCCTTTCTTCTTCCTGTGGATATGTTGGCTAAAAAATGTCGCTAGGTACGCCTAGAATCCAGTGAAATCATCGTCTCGCAAAAATGTAATTTCTTCCCTTGGTGTCGCTCCTACAAACGGCAGAGTTGTTCTTTCTTTTTCTGCTTCTTTCCTCAAAGCGAATATTTACAAAGCGAATATTTTTTCTGTACTCTCATAATAAAGTAAAAATAACGAAAATATCGCTGAAGTTGAGAGTTATAATGGAAACAACTCATGGCGCAGGACTCGTTGATCGAAGCGATCAACGAGTCCTGCGCCATGAGCCGCAAGAGAATGGAATCTTCAGCATTTTGAGGCGAGTTAAAAAAGACAAAGAGGCAAAGAGGGCATAATTGATATGGGCAATAAAGCGTTTTAACTGCCTGCTGCAAATTCGCACGGCAGGTCTTTCGCTGAACTTCGATAGTTTCCAACGCGAGTTGAGGGAGAGAGGAAGGCGCTCTCTCTTTTTCTCTCCTTTTTTCTCCTTCTCCCTCTTTCTCGCTCTCTCTCTCTCTCTCTCTCTCTCTCTCTCTCTCTGTTTTTCTGCTATACTCTCGGTTCCCTAGAGGGATGAACCATCGTAGAACCTCGTTAGAACTTTATAAACTAGCGAGTTTATCGAGGCTGATGTCTCGTAACGCGGTTCGCTGTGGTGCTGCCTCGACGAGGTATTAAAACCTGTCTGTTTGCGAAAGTTCATTTGTACGACACACCGTGTCAAATCGAGAGAAAGGAGAGAAGGAGAAGAATGTAAAACAGCCGAGGAGAAGGATACTCGTGTTGCATATTTTTTTCTACTACGAAGCGTTCCCTTGGCGTCGCTACGGAGGAGAAAGGTAGGTTGAGTCAACGATGAACGAGCGAAGCACGTTTCGACTTGAGGGGAACCGAAAATTTCTGTTTCTTACGAACTAAACTCAGTCGGCAAGAGCGAAGAATTGCTCTCCACCAACGGCGGGACTTGTTCAAGCAAAAAGCTTCTGGTTTTCCTGAACTAAATTTAGTTTTATAAAAACCAGGAATTATGGCTGAAAAATTATTCTCCGGCTGAGACTTTTTCAAGCCGGGCCTCTGATTCTTAGGAACCAGCTTCTTCAAAAATTCCCCGTCGAAGAACAGAAATCCTGCTCCCCTTAACCGAAACTTCGAGCCGGATTCCTCGTGCTCACGAGTCGAACTCAGCTCATAAGAAGCAGAAACTCGGTCCCCTTCGGCCGAAACGTGCTTATTTCGTCCAATATCACGTTGATTCAACCGATCTTCTTTCTCCGCGTGGCGTCGCTCGCAAGTTGGAATAAACCGAGCGAAATGAAACATTGAAAGCGGCTGTATTCGTGCCCGCACGCTACAAATGGGCTCACTCGCGAGATTTAACGTAATCGAACTGGTATCGCGTGGCACTTTTTCGCGAGGCGAACTTTACGCAGTGCGAGTTCTTCCGGCGAAGTTGGCAATCGTCGCGCTTGG